CCCAAATCGATGTGAAGATCCTTGAATGTTGAAAAACCTGCAAACTGTTGTTTTTCAGCCTTGATACGTGTTTTGTTTTTTCCCTAAGTACCCATTGCTGACACTGGGATCAAGGTGAATAGGAGTGTGTGGGCTGAGTGACAAACTCTGACTTCTGCCTCATAAAAGACTCAAGGAAGCTACTAGCCTGTATCCTGCAAACTAGATGAGGATGAGCTGGTGCCTGGTTTATTTTTTTTTAAGTCTGCTTGATGCATCTGTTTTGCACCCTGTGTGTACCTTTACAGAATACGTGGGCTTTGCATTAGCTGGTTTATGAACGCTCGCACATCCTGAGATTACGTACATCTGAAATAGGCTTCTCGTGTCTGGCAGTGATGACAGAGATGGGGCTTAATACCTTGACTTGTGGAGTGCTTGTGCTCTTCATACCTACAGTCCCTGCACCCCAAATCTCCAGCTCTTCAGTCAGTTGGAAAGTGCGCTCTCGCTTCTCCTGGTGCCACCTCTGCCCCGGAGCAGGAGCAGCGTGGGATCCTGCCGCGCACAACCGGCGGCGATGTCCGTCTGGCGTGCGAGGGCAAGGGCTGTGTCGCCCACCCGTCTTTGTGCTCCGGTCCCTGTGGATGTGGCACGGAGCGAAGGTCCACCTGCGGCTCCTCTGCCTGTGGAAGCGAATGTGACTCATCTCATATTAGCAAGAGGGTCACAAACGCTCTCTGGCGTGTTGTGCCTGAGCCTTTCCCACACAAACTCCATCAGCTGCCCTGCATTAATCATATAATCATCTCTTGGTCACTGGGGATGCATGTCTCTCTGGAAGGGAGGAGCAGGGCATTTTTTTAATGAAAGCTTTTTTCATTAAGTTGATTAATTTCTGAAGGAGTGAATGCTTTTAACTGACATACCAGTTTCTGTTTAATCTGCATGAGGTTCTTGCTATTGTAGGATCAGACAGACTTGTTTTCTTTATAAAGCATATTTCCTGTGTGCTCTCTGCAGTTGAAGAAATGAATTGTAGCAAAATTACTGGCTTAACTTCCTTTATGAATGATGACTTGCTCTATTTTGATTCAAGCCAATAACTTAAGCCTTTTCTTCATGCAGAAAGCAACCTTTTCTAAAAGCAGAAAACCCCCGAACCCCATACAGGATTTTTCATAGAGATGCTCGGATGATAGAGTTTAATATTGGAGAACATAGCTGCCAGCCTGTTCAAGTCAGCTGGATACTGGTGCCATGGGAGTTGGAGACGGTTCTAAAACCCTGTTCAGCAGGTCGGGGACGGGGCTCCCAGCTGCAATCCAGTAACCCCCACCAACCCCAGCCCTCGTCCCGCAGTAGGAAAGCATGGGAAGGAAGGACTTTTCCTGGACCGCTGCCAGCAGTGCCCTTTCTGCCCTTCCCCTCGCCTTCTGCTGGCGACTCTGGCTGTTAAGCAGGTACCGTCTTTAGAAACGAAGCCCTGTGGGAGCCACTGAGCTGCCTGTCAGAGGTCTTCTGGGTCCCCTGGCCCCCGTCCCTCCTCCTCAGGGCTGCGGGAAGGTACGACCGCTTGATCCTTCTGAGCTTGAGCCAGGGCTGCCGTGCTGCCCTTCCCCCAAGGGGACATGTCTGGAAGAAGACTGATTGGCGATGCTTAATTGCGGCCTGCTGTTAATTGCATTATCATTAGAAAATATTCCTCAGAATAAGCTGCTTGGATGGAGAACATGAGCAGGCTTCTTGCTGCCGTTGCTTCCCAACCTGCCAGGATGGGCAGGGTAACCGGGGCTTGTGCCGCTCGCAGGGCTGCGACAGCGGAGGGTTTCAGCACTGCAGCACTCTGGGGCTTTCCAGAGAAACCGTCTGAAGGAGACGGTTCCGAACTCCAGCTCGGGCAGGCACACGTGTCTCTTGGTCCTCCCCTGGAGCTAGTCTGTGAGCGTCTGCTGGTGGTGGCGGTGCAGCCCTGGACGCCCAGCAGCACACCAGTACACACAGGAACCCCTTCGGTGCCGCTCCTGGTACTCTCACGAAGGCAGAAGGTGCGGGGACCGGGGTGCTCCCCGTGCCGCAGAGGGGGTACTAGGGGTATCCAGTACTTGTGTCACCTGCAGGGTCCCCTGAGCGGGGCTGTGGGCAGAGCTGGCGTGAGCAGGGTCCCCACGCATCAGCACACTCAGGACGTGATGTTCTCGGAAGATAAACCAGTTTTCTGCACTCTGTGGCAACTGTTAAATCTGAATTTGTGAATGGCTTTATTTGATCCAAAACTTCATTTATTTTTGTAATGAATAAGCGCTTGGCTTCAGGAGAGCTTTGTTGGCTTTCCTTTTGACATGCAGCTTAGCATGCAGGCTGCTAGATCGTGCCGTTGTCCTGAGTCAGTCAGTCTGTTATGTATTCATTACTCATACGTGTATCAAGGCTACAGCAATGTCCAGAATGTAGCATTTAAGCTGCTGCTCCATCTTGAAGGTTGTTTTTTTTAACAGAAATCTGAAGTTTTCCAGCGACAGAGCGAGAAAGTACGAGTGACTGTTGCTGTGTTGCTCCTCCTGAGCGCATGTTGAAAACTCCTGGGTCAGCTCAGGAGGTTGCTTAAAACAGACACCTGAGCTCTCACGGGGGTGGCCTCTGCCCCCTGGCCGAGCCTGGGCTGCGGACCTCTGTGTTTCCAGGCCGGGGACAAGCGCCCATCTGTCTGCGGGCGCTCGGAGCTGAGCAGGGTGTGAGATTTGGACATTTCACGACGTGGAGCATCAGCTGTTTTAAAGCAGTTTGCCGTTTTGCTGGTAGCACCAACTTTCTGCTCCCAGAGGAGAGAATCCCTGATCTTTGCCCCCAGGTAATCTCAGTGAGCAGCTGCAGTTTGGCCTCATCCCTGTCCCTGCGATGGGGCAGCCTCTGCCTTTGCACTGGCCTTCACTGGGAGGTTGTTTGACTTCGGGCTTCTGTTGTGATGCTTCCTTCCTCCAAGTGTGAAAATCGCAAAGAATAAAACTGGCCTGAGGGCTTGCTGTTAACCTCAACAAGGAAATGCATTTTTCTTCTGTTTAGACTAAATATTCTCAATCTGTAATCTGTCTCTAAAGGGTCAGGTTTTTGCAAAAAGCATTTGAGGGATATTCTGCCAGGTCTGTAGACCTCACTAAGGCTCTGGCAGATGTAAGATAATAAGCCTGCAAGTGAGTTTGTTGTGTGCTTTTGAAAATCTCACCATACATCAGAAGGCAAATGAATAGATTCTCCTGCAAGATTAAGTATAAATGTATACTCTGTCAACTGTAGGTAATAGAGCCTTGTTGTGAGACGTCCAAGTTTCTTAGGAGCAGGGTGATTCTGCTAAATGCTAAAGGAGTTTATGAAAGCTGATTGCAGTCCTCTGGAATATAGGTTTTAGGGCAGATGTTCATGGTGTGTTGAATCAGCTCTTTGATGTCTCAATTGTATGGGCAATACAGAAGATCATTCTGGATGCTGAGTCTGGGCAAATCAGTGTCGCTTTTGGTTCCATGCCTGCAGAAGAGGTGCCGCTGTGTTTTTAGCAGCGTTGGAAATGTGATAATCTTCCTGTGTTTGGTGTTGGTGTTCTTGGTTTATTGTGCTCTGTATTTGTAAGTCGCAAACCTCAACTGTGAGGGGTTTTTAAAGGTCTTTGATCTTTTGCTTCATAGCATTAATCCTGTTTGTCAGGAACACAGATTTGAGCCTGTGTGTCCTGCAGTTCTGACTCGGCCACGTTAGTTGATTTGGCACGGACGTGTGTTGGGGCTGGTCAGACTTTTGAACTGGCTCAAACTGAATTGCACTTGAAGTGTGGTGCAGTGATGCTTTTGCAGTTGAAAAGTCTAAGTGCAGATCTCCATGCCATTTTTTCATTCATTTATGTATCACTGTTTCATGTGTCTTCATTTCTTCACTTGATCTTGAAGACGAATCGATCCTCCCTTTGAACTCTTTTAAGGCCTCCACTCCGTAAACGTGACTTACAGGGCTGGTGCAAGTACCTCTGGCATGCAGGGGTACAGATGAGGGCTTTTCTCTTCTGTAGTTTTTTGTTTTGATGGGCACATCCCTCTCCAGTAGACGCATCTTTTCAAGCCTGTCATCTGCCCTTAGTCTGGCTGGTATCTGTCGAGAAGGCCAGATGACAGCAGTCTAACACATCAAGCGTGGGCAGCTTCGTTACCTTTTGGTAGCTGCGATTTGGAGTGTGTGGTTTTGGACTTCTGAATTCAGAACAAGCATCTCGCGTGCTCCTCTTGCCCGAAGGCTGGTCAGTCGTGCTCTGCATCTGCCTTCGGACGGCTGCATGGGGGGGGAGCACCGCGCGGTCCTTCGAGAGACACCGGCCATCCCAAGGGCTCCGCAGTGCTGCCGCGGCACACACGTGCTTCTGCAGCCTGAAACGAGCAGTGGTCCGGCATGGGAGGGGGAGCCCCTGGAGGGTGGGGGGTCCGAGAGGGAGCGGGGCTGTCTTTTCCCTCCGGAGGCAGAGTGAGAAGGCGGCGTGGCTGCTCTCCCTCTTCATCAGCGCGTGACTGGGGCACTGCGGCAGCAGTCCATGTCTTGAGCGGTTGCAGGTACTTAGAAAAGCTTCTGTACGGCTTGCTCTCGAGGGGAAAATAATCCTATTTTATAGATTGTGTTTGAAAAGTGGAGGCAGATGTTCTTCACGTGGCGCTCTCTGTAGGGACTTGTGGCAGATTAACCTACAGTAACCCACCCTGAATGGGGACTTAGACGTCTTTAAGCGAGAGACTAAAGATTTATTATCATCACTGAAATTCATATCATGTCTATCTTGGAGAAAATTCCTGCTCTTACTTTGGGTTTGTTAACTTGATGAGTTTCTTCCAAAGCTGTAGCTGCTGCTGGTTTTGCCTGCCAGGCCAGCTGGGAGCAGGAGAATTCCTGGCTATATTTAGAGGACACCCAGAGCGTGTGCCTCGCCACTAATGCTGGTCCGTTCCATGCTGCCTGCAGTAACCTCTCCCTCTTTTACTTTCTTCAAGGTAACAGAAGATAAGAGCACAGCTGTTCTCCTAGAGGGTCACGAAGTCTGTAAACATCCTGACACGCTCCCCAGGAGAATCTGGAGGTTGCCGTGCGCATGGCAGGAGGACAAGTTTCCTTGTCAGATTGCACTGCTTTTCATCTGGGACAGGTGACAGGCACCGGGACTTGGAGTTAGGTGGCTCTTCTGGTGTGAGGCTGGCAGGAAAGTCTTAAGGATATCTTACCCTAGAATGAAAACTTGACAAGTCATACAGCAATGAACTAGGAGAACAGCAAAAACCACACCTTGGAATGTATTTATTACTTAAAAGTTAGCTATTCTTGATAAAATCCCAAAAATTATTGCTGCTGCTTATTTTACTTACAGATTTCACACACTTGTTAATTTTAAAGCTACCAAACTTTTACTCAATACTGTACTCTGAGAAATGTAATTGGAGCAGGACATGCAATAGAATGAAATCATTGTAGTGTCTTAAGTACAATGGACTCACTTTTGTGTCTATTAAAACTTGGAAAATGTGCAACATATAACTATGTGGCTGTCATTGCATATGGTAAAGCTTTTTCTTGTCATCTACTGCAGAGCTGAGAGAATCAATGTTTTGAAAAGCAGTCACCTGGTAACTTGGATGGGTTTGTGTCCTAAATGCGTGCTTTCTTAAGTCACCTGAAACAGCAGGCAGCACAGCCTTGGCTTGCTCATGCTGCATGCGTAGAGGTAGGTAGTTAGCCTGATGGCTCCAACTGGAGAATGAGTTAACGTTTTGAACTAACTTTTGTGTTCACACCTAGTCAACGAGTGTAATTTAAGGCCCCTTGAACACACCTTGTTGGATAGAAAGGATCTTCATCCTTACACATGACCAGGAATGATTAGCAGTCTTTAAAAAACAGAAAACAAACAGCCTATAGCTTTTGTACCAAATTTAGAGTACAAATGGTTTACAAACTAAAGTGGCCTATAAACAAGCTTTTGAAACTGCATCGGTTATTTTTTTTGGTTTTGCATTAGTCTAGCTTTCTCTTGGATTCTGTCAGTCTAGAAACATTGATTTGTGGTAATCTGTTGCTTCTGATGCTGGAGAAAATGGTTCACTCCTAGGTGAAATGTTGTCTGCATGTAGAAGATTGCCTTTGAGCTACCGGATCGTTGCACAGATTCTGCTTCCTGTTTGTTCTTAATCTGTTGCAGCAAACATTGTGATGAACTATTGTCGAATTAGAAGAGCAAGCGGATCGGAAAACATACAAGCTCGTGTTTTCCTGGTTCATGCCGGTTCATATTGTGGTCTTTTGAATGTCAGCAAGAGAGGTCAGAGCTTCCCTTTTCTGTTTAACAACAGCAAAGTTTAACAAGAAGAGTTCAACAGCAGAAAAACCCTTCTGCTGAGTCTCAGTAAGAGCATACAATGAGTCAAATATGTTTCCCTTAAAACAGTTGGAAGACTGTGGTATAAAACATGCAAACTAAAATGCAGTGCTGAAATAGGACATCTGTGTCCCAAGACTGATTTTGGCCACCTCTGCAAACAAATCAGTAAGCTTCCTGTTTTCCAAAAATAAGTGTAAAAAGGACAGCAGTATATAGCGAAGGAATGTGTTCCTGCACCTTGTGTAAAGCCTTTATGAAGCAGTTGTTTACCTGGGCATCCACTTTGCCCATCTCCAGAGCAGACTACTTGGCTGGCAAAGATGCTCTTGTGCAGTGAGTACTCCCACTCATGGAGAAAACAGTTCTACCTTTCTTAGCCCCTGTCTGTCTGTCTTCAGGAGTTTCTTTGTGGGTTTTTTTCTAGCAACTTCTCAAGCTAGGCCTAGGGTTAGCTGATGGCTATGTGAGGTAGTTTTTGTGTTTTCTGCTCACACAGTTCTTTATTGTACGAAATCCCTGCCAAAAAGTGTTGCCAAGCCTTTTGGCTGTAGCATTACAGCAGTTAGCTGAAGGGAGTTACAAGCAGCCTTCTGTTCATTTAAAAAATAAAATTTAAAAAAAGGCAAAACAAAAATAACTAAGCCCCCACTCCCCCATGCTTTCAGGAAGAGCGCTTGTCTACTCCCATCTCTAGTGAAGGGCTGCTCCTGCCTGCATGTGGAAAGGCTGCTCTGTGGTTGAAGGAGATGCCAAGAACAACAGGTAAGTCCCGGCCGCTTTCCTGAGAAGGCTCGCAGATGTCACTCAAGTCCCGTGAACAGGCAGAAATGTCCGTAAGACCAGGCATTCAGTCTCTGCTGGGTGTGAGAGAGAGTTACGATACCTCAGACTTGGGGCCACTGATTTTCTCTAGGCTTAGGACCTGAAACGGATTGAGAAAGTAAGCTCAAGTCCAGCGTCCGTCCTCTGATGTTGGATGTGGTCCCCGGGATGGAGTTGTTTAAGAGGGGATGTCCAAGATTTTTTTTCCCCATGATAATTTTGCTCTGCAGGAAAACCCCTGGTGCACATAAGCATCCTCTGCCAGATGTTTAACTGTACAGTGGAACTCTGTCTGCCTTCTGCTTCTGCCTTGATAATCACTGTCGTCTCGTGCCCTCGGAGCAGCGGTTGTGCTCCTCAGTGCTGATGGAGGAGTACCTGGTATCCCTGCAAGAAACCTTCCCGGTCTTCCCTTGCCGGTTGCTGTGTTTTGCTAGTCCCCTGTCACCAAGGGCGCAGCTCCTGCTGTCCTTACACCTGGATGCATGGTGACATTCCTGACATTGCTGGGCCCTTTAGAAAGCAAACAACTGGCTTTTACTGCCTGAAAGTCCTTGCCAATGCAGAGGTAAAGGGAAAAGTGTCAGCATTTCAAGCTCGCCAGGTCGTGTGTCAGCAGCAGGAAGGTTAGAGAACTGGTTTGCTGCCATTTTCTGCCAGGAGGGCTGGGGAGGGACCCTCCTCCAAAGAGGACTGGAAGGTTGCATGTGCTGGGACTCCTTTTTTTTGTCTTTTACCTTTGTGATGCCAGGTGGCCTGACACACGTGTGTCTGTTAGCACCAGCTTAATGAAGCAGACGAGTGAAGCTTAAGCACTGCGGGTGAGTCACCAAATTTTTGCCACTTTTACTAAGAACTGCAACGGAGAGTTTCAGTAAAAACATGGTAACGGAGAAAATAGTGCTTAGGTGGCATGCGAGTGGATTGGACACCGGGGTCCTCTGAATCAGTGGCTCAGTGCCAGAGGTAGGTTTATACACCAGCCTTAAACAGTATCCCAGCAAAAAGCACAACTTTGGATCTGCGTATGGGAGCTAAAGGAGTTGGCTCACTTCTTCAGTGAAAAGATGATTCTTCGGTTTTGGCAAGGCTTAAAGCAAAAATCTTGTAACAAATTGCTTTTTTCGCCTTGGCCATTATGCAGGTAAATGAAAATAATTTCTCAGCAAATGCAAAAGCATAAACCAAGAGCACAGTGACGTTTCATTTCTTAACTGATTTTAAAAAGCTAATGTCGAAGTTTCTAAATGTCATTTTTAATAATGTGAAGTTTGAATGGCTTACTTTAGTCTTCTATTATGTCAGAGGAAAAGCTCCGTTGGGTTAAAACCTAAATGGGAATGTTCAGGAATAGTACGTGGTCTTTAGTATTCTCTGTAATAGGTTCTGTGCTGCCCATTGAACATCATTAGCAGATCCCTATGTGCTGTGAAATTTCACTTTTTGTTCCATTTTTAAGGTTTTTCTCCTTATACTTTTAAAACTTGAGCATGGCTTTAGGAAATTGTGGGCTTTTTTCAGTCCATTTCAATTCTTGTTACACTGAAGGCTTATTATAGTCTCCGCTGCTCCGCACTGTGGTTTTGGGGGTTTCCTCCTGAACCCTACAGCTGTGCTTCAGCTCGCACAGCTGATTTCCTAAATGCAAGCCCTGCAGAATCTGAGTATAGTTTTCAGTGGAGGGGGGCTCAGTATTTTATTCTAACATTATTCAAACCAGTACTAAACCTATCAGTACTTTTTGTAATAGGACTTTTGCTAATATTCTGAATCTATAGATTAAATTTTGTGTGCATAATCCACATTCCTCATACTTGGCTTCGTGTCTGGCATGCCTTGAGCAGGCTTTCAGGTCCCGAAAGCCCCCTCAGCGTTCTGCTGTACCCGGGCTCTCCCTGCCCTGGGCGGGCACTGCCTGCTGGCACTCCTACCCTCCCAAGGGAAATAGTATTTTCTGCAACTGGAGAGTGAGTCTGGTTATTTCTGTTCAAAAACATGATTTCTCACCGAATTTTTGTATCCTATCTTTTCTGACTTACTAAATTTATTTAGAGGAGCTAGCTGTGTAGGTGGCCTAACTTAATAGTTTCTGTTGCTTCGTGAGCTGTAGGCTGACTCAGAAGAGCTGTGGGTGAGGGCTGGTGACAGCACTACAATGCCCATTTGGGAACCCAGCCAGAGTTTTGACAGTGGTGGTTTCTCCCGGGGCTGGGGGCCGGGCAGCACCGGGGAAAGGGCGAGCCGGGAGCCACAGTCTCCCCGTGACTGGCGTGCTTAATTACCGTGGTTTCCGACGGTCCCTTTGGGGGGTACAACTGTATGGCCGGGGCGGGTGCCCCTGCGCCTGGCGTCCTGCGAGAAGCACGATGTGGACAGAGGTGACCTGGCCACGCTGCGGAGCAGCAGTGGTGGGTGCGTGGCATGCTTCCCCGGGGCAGGGTCCCTTGCAGGCTGGGTTAGCTGAGGGGAAGGGTATGTTGCTGGAATTGTGGCACTTAACGATGCGCTGTTTAAAAAACCTTTTGTTCTATGATAATGAAGCCGTCCAAGTGACTTACAGAATAAAAACCCACACGGTTTTGATTCCATCAGGGATCCTAAGGCATAGATGAGATTTTTACCGGTTGCTTTGTTGTGGCTTATAGTTAGCATACTGCCTATTTCGCGCCGATAAGGGCTAGCAGAGCTGCCAGAGCTGTGGTACCGGCTGCCCTGGCAGCATGTCCAGCAGAATGGCTTTTGCCTGCGCCGGGCAGCCGGGGCTGTGCCATGCCGGCTGATGGCAGGAGCGAGGCCGCGTCCACTCTGTTTTCTGCTTTTCCCGGGTGCGTGGCGGTGGCCGGGCTGCCTTCCCGGCCCCGACTTGCCTCGGGACCTGTGCTCTGCAGGTCCTGCCACACTCGCCACGGCCCCGTCTAAACACAAATCCCCACTGAGCACTTGTGCCGGTACCGGTGGCAGCAGGGATAAAGGAGACTATACTGGGATGATGGTGGCCAAACGTCGCAGCACCTACTTCTGTCTAAATACCATCTGCAGTGTTTTCCCAAAGCTTCTCCTTTAGTCTCCCTTCAAGTTTCACACTTCTCTGCGCTCAGTTCTCTATTCGCGCCCTTCCCAGGTGTCCTCCCCGCTCTGCCGGGCTGTTGGACCGGGCAGGGGAAGCCGAGCTCTGCTGAGGGTCTCCCGGCGAGGGGCTGCCTGTGCCCTGACACCCCTCCTCTCACCCACCAAGGTGCCTCTTGCTATAGCCTGGGAAGTCCCTGTGCCTCCCTAAAATGCTTTGTCCAGCAGAATGGCCTTAAAATTAAGAAAAAGTGGTCTTTGGAAGAGGGGGCTCTGGGTCTCCAGCTGTGCAGGCAGCGCTGCGGGTGGAACTGGACACCCACCAGCTGCACAGTGCTGCCTGCAGGAAAAGTTCCTGCTGGCCTTTGATTTTGTGGGGTCAGCTTAGGAGTTTCTCAAACTTTTCCACAGACCTGAAGTAAACGTTTCTGATAATTTGACTTTGTGAAATTTCAACTTTCTTCCTGATCTAGTGTTGAATAGGGGGAAAGGCATTTTAAAGTGAATGGAATGAAAATCCATTTCCCAAACAACTTTGCCTTTGTCATTCATGACGGCTCATGAGACTGCACTCAGGGAGAGCATTCTCAACAGCTGGTAGCAGTAAATTCAAGTTTGTAATTTTTGACTGTTTCTTCTCATTTCTTCTTTCCTGATTAAGCTATGGCCAGTAAGAAGATCAGCATCTCAACACTTTTTAACCATACTGATGCTGGTGTGCTGGCTTTAGAGGCTGTGATAATGTTAATTGGAGCAGCAGCAGCACCGAGTGAATAAACAAGCTCTCGGCAAGCACGGCTGTCGGGGGGAGCTGGAGGGAGGAGAAGACCGGACCCAGACCTGCCCCAAAGCACCGGCAGTGCTGCTTGCCCAGATGGAAGGTGCAGGAGCGAGTGACTGGAGAGCCAGCCGAGCCCTGCAGGTCCTGTGCGTTGGCTGCCAAGTGTCAGAACAAGCTGGTGAAATATTAAGCTGAGAGCCTAATGAAAAACAGGGAGCATGGCTACTTTTTTTTTTTTTTTTTCCCCTTGAAATGAGTGTTTTGTTGGACTCTCAGTTCTTCGGAGCCAGGCGGGATCCCTCGGGGGCCGCAGTGAACGTGCGTGCCTTGTGGAGTAGTCACATCTCTCCGGCGCAGCAGGGGCCGTGCTGGGCCAGCGTGGCCACCGGTCCCCTTGTGCTCGGAGCCCGTGATGAGCAGGCACGTGGGCTGCAGCCCTCGCAGCAGGTTCCCTGCCTCTGCTTCGTGAGAGGACTTCGGCTGGGAGAAGGGACCTGCCCTCAAACTGTGAACCTCAAAGTGCATCCTTTGCCGCTGGTGCAGGGACGGACTGGTTGTGTAAGGACGGGCGATGCCGAGCAAGTCCCTGCTGGGCAGGACGGCAGCCCCGGTCCTGGGGGACTGAAGAAAGGCAGAACAGCTCCGTTGGGTTGTCCCAGAAAATGCGAGTCGATCAAAGCTCCTTCTCCAGTCAGGTGCAGCCTGGGATGGCAGCATCACCATTTGTCACTCTTAGTGCGTTTGAGTCACTGTTGGCACCAGTCTGGTTTTCACGGGGTTTTCAATCACTCCCTGTGGAAAAAAACTGTCCTTATGGCCGAACTTGCTGGATTTTAGCAATAGTTTTATGTTTATCTATCCTCCTGGCTTGGCTGCAACCTTACAACAATAATCCTTCCTGGGGCTACAGTATCCCTTAATAGGTAGGAGAAAATGGGAAGTTGAACAGTTGCTTTTAAAGATGAAAGTAGCTTTATGCTGCCAAAAGAAATATCTACTATTCTGGTATGTAGTAATTTTCTTATTTTGCTAGATCTTAAGATTATTACTACTATCCTTTTTTTATTACTGCTTGTAGCAGAGGACTTCTAAGCAGTCTTGATGCATTTTTTTCTGTGTCTACGGATTAACGGCTCTGCTGTGAGACTGGGGAGAGACCCCAGGCATCGGTAGCTGGCTGGGACCTGGGCTCCCCCTGCCCCACACCTTCCCCATTGCTCGGCAGGGACCCCCGAGGCCAGGGCACCCCATGCATTGCTCTGACTGCCACCGCTCCTCGCAGCCCAGCGTGTCCGTCCCTGCCTGCATCCCAGCAGGGAGGTCGCAACTGAAGGCTGCCGCGAGCCCCGGCCGGGCAGCAGCCCAGCTCTTGCTCGGTGTCGGTCCGAGTGTCCGTGCTTCCCGCCTGAGCTCCGGTTTGCGCAGGAGGGACCAGCCTGAGCGCAGGCGGTGGGGGTCATCTGAGCTGATGGGCATCACGGGGAATTAGACACAGGCGCCTGACTCGCCAGTGGTGCTCCAGCGAGCCTAATTAAAAGGGAAGCTTGCTTTAATCCAATCAAACGTCTGTCTTGTACGGAAAATATTTTCTTTCCCCTAAACTCGAATTTATTTTTTTTTTAAGTGCGTATTATAAAACACAAAGTTCAGCAAGTTGTTTTTAAAGCTAATTTCTCAGGAAAAACACATAAACTGTAAGCTGTTTTCCATTAGACACCAAAACCTGAAGCATTTGGCTTTGATAACCAAAGCCTAATGTGGCTTGAAACAGAATATGGTTGAAATAGAGAATCTTAAGTGCAGCTGAACTGAGTACGGAGCAACCCCCACCGATGGGCTTGGGGGGGAGGGAAAGGGGTGTTTGTTTTCCTTTGCTGAAAGTCCTCCGTGTCGGTGGTGTCACGCTAAAGGCGTGTGAGGATGAAGCGCTGGCCCCGAGGGGTGCAGGGGGTCCGGTTTTGGAGGAGGCGCGGGGCCCTGCCATGCCGGCGCTGGGGCTGCTGCTCAGGGCTCGACCCCACATCACCGATCCCCCCCCATGCCGGGCAGCGGCCTTTCCATTGCCCGGCCTGGCACGGGGAAACAATCTGGGGCCAAATCCCCGGAAATGCAGCATCTTGCCTGCCTGTTTATGCCACCCGTTCGGAGGAGGAGGGTGCCCAAGGGGGTCCCGCCACCCTCGCAGAAAGGAGCCGTGCACCCTGTTCTGCTCCTAAGAGCAAGCTGTTGTAAGGACCTGTACGCGGTCTGGCCCTGGCACGGCAGCTAATTAACCCTAAGGCGCTGATG